CCCAATCTGAGTGTAGAGCCCCTCGCTAGGGTCTGTCGCGGTGTTTGCTCTTAGCGGTCACGCTATTTTTCCATGCTTGAGGCTGGGGAAATAGGGAGACGGCTCGTGAGCATCCGAGCCGCGCCAACCGTAACATTTAGATTGGAATCCTCTATACCACATATTGCAATAGTATACATGCAAAAGGCGAACTTGCCTGCAATTGCGCATGCGACGCTTCCGCGCCTGACTCAGCCAAGGATTTTGAGACCCCCTTCATCCAAAAAGAATTTTGTCTCTTTCCGGCCCTCCCCTCCACTTCAAGCGAGATAAGTCAGAACCCTACTGATGTTCATCCAACATTAAATTATGAGTGCAGTGAGTTTGGCCAAAATTACGGCTTGTCCCACAATGTCCCAATAAGTTTGGAGTCTGATCTCGGCAGATTTTCGGCTTTGGTTTTTCTGTTAAATCGTTCTTGAATCCTCTCGTCAATCGCTGCCTCATGCATATTCGCGAGATGAACAAATATATTGTCATGAAGTGGGTCTGGAAAAGTATACTTTGAAAGTTCAAAAAGAAATTAAAGTCGAGAATCTTCTGAGGATTAGGCTTAGAGTCAGAGAAAAGCAATGAAACAAAAATAAACATGAAACATAGGTCCCACAGCAACAGCAACAGCAACAACAACAAATACAACAAAATCAGGTATACTACAAAGTGCTAAGCCTTGAATTGTTCACGACACATCAAAACTTTTTTCATTACATTAGGTCAATCAGCAACAGCAACAAATTGAGCAAAACCAGGTGAATCGCCCATCTGAAATCTCAAATTTTCTATTTTTTGAAAATTAAACTAGGTTCATGACCAGCAACAGTATGACGCACAGGTTACATTCATGTTACATTTATATCATTTTTTCATTTATTTCTTGTTGTGAAATTGTTTTATTTGTCCTGCCAAACAATCGCAAGCTCTAACACCGTGCGTCAATGAAAATATTTTACATTAATTTCAAGTTCCGTCGTCCAGAATTGCCGTGGTTTTTTGGGGTTAAAGTTGTAACAAAGCTTTCTATAACATCTTGGGTCTTTATATGTACTCGTCAATCTGTGCTGTGAAAGTTGCTTTATTTTTCAGGGCCAACATCAACAGCCTCAGGCGGCCCAGCAAGTCCAAGCATCCCAGCAATTTGGTGGTGAACAAGCAAAAGACGAACAGTGAGTAGGTCATCAGAAGGTATTTGAATTAGCTAAATCCTTTCATTTACAGCCATATCAAGGAACATCTGGATGGTAAGGTGGATCCAACTGCGAACATGACACCGGAACAGTTGCAATTCCACTATTTTAATATGCACGATCTCGATAAAAATGGCAAATTGGATGGAG